AGCTCATGATCCTTTCCATAGGTATGCAAGAAACAGGTATTTGTTGAATTTTTGTGCATTTTCTGAATCACCTATAACTGCTTTATATCATGCACTACCACGAAGCACTTCAAACCTGCGTAATTATCGATAGCTTGTGCTAGGTCAAGGAGGCTACAGTAAGGAAAATAGCATGAAAAACAAACTTTTATATTTAAGAATAACTTAAGAGTTAGGCAGGCTGAATATATGTGTCACTGCTGTCTCCTCTCTGGGTGTCTTGATGAAGCAGTTTCAATCAGTTTCCCAGATGCGTGCTTTATTATTATCCTGACTTCCAAGCATCGCTTGCCTTGAACATCTGAAGACAAAGGCAGCTAATTAACAAATGAAATCAGCAAGCTGTGTCGTCCCAGCAGCTGAAAAAAAGATGATATAGCGAATACAGTCTGTGATCCTGCTCTCCTCTTGGTATGTGTGAAACTCCCCTGGAGCTCAGGTGAGGGTTGGGGGAGATGGTCGGTGTTTCCTGCTCACGGACCGTGCAATACCTCCAGTGCTTTGCAGACCAGCATGGAGAGGGTATTAACAGCCTCTGCTGCACTTCTCTGCACCTTCCACACCAACATCGCTGACCGTCATGATCCAATTCACGGTGCATTTAGATTAGACCCATTTTTGAACAGCTTACACTGGGTTTTCTGTTTGTTTGAGAGCTTAGGGATGTGTGAAGGGAATTCTTCCAAGACAGTGTTTAGCATGCCTCTGCCATGTGGGTTTTGGAAACTGTTTGGTTCAATTCAAAGATTAAAGACTGAAAAATTGAACCTAATGGTGGCATAAACCTCTGTGGAAAACATACTTCTGTAATTATTTTCAATTTGATTAATAGACTTTAACTACATAGCAACACCCATGACTTCAGTTTAATTTAAAGAATGATTAGTCAGTTAACTCTTCATAATTTGATCAACCCAAAATGAAAATTTTAGTGTTTTTTTTTCCTTTCATAAAGCACTTCAAAAATTCATCTTGTTGAGCTTCTTGATGCTAAATCTTTCTGCGCTGCAGTAAGATCTCCCTGTCTGTTCAGTGATTTCCCCTCGTTCCTCTTCCCAGGTTGGTTGCTGTGCAATACCTGCAGTCCATAGCTTCCCTCCCAGGCTGCTGAGTCCCTGGCTGTTCCAGTGCTTTTAGGGAACAAACACCCACAGATACTTACACATATGCACAGAGCTTTAAATAGCTGGGTGGTTGGTTTTTGTTTTTTTTTTTAAAGTCTGTTTAAAAATGTGAATGTCAATTAGTAACAATGCAATTAGACCCTGAAACTGGAGTTCTGGAGAGCTTTCACAAGTGGGCATTCACGCCACCGACATCAGGTGACTTGAAAATAGCCTGTCTAAAGGCAATGACTTTGGCAATTGCATGCCTCCATTGTAATAACTCTGCAGAACACCTTGGCAGTATTAGAAGAAAAGCATATTTTGTATTATGTTTGCAGCTCTCTCACTGCCTGAACAAAATACGGTCTTATATAACAATCCAGTAAAACATTTGTCTAACCCTGCCCAACAGCGGGGCGGGCAGTTGAGCGTGCAATGAAACAACACAACAATTGCAAGCATTATTTTGTCTCCTATTAGTGCTGCTTCTTTTGCTTTGATGCAGCTGTCGAGATCTTTCCAGCACTGCCAATGGAAAAATCAGTCAAGTTCTGCAGTGCAAATTTTCTATTAATTGACCGTTATGAAATCCTTTGGCAGACAGCTCGCTGCATTTGCGTTCCCGACTTAAATTTCTTTGAGGTTTCCTTATACTCGTACCAAAATCCATCCCCTGGCATAGCACAGCGCCATGCAGAACGAGGGTGCCTGCTTCTCTCTGTCGTAGGGGAGTGCCCGTGTCGGGGGTTAGCGCACATCCAGCACGGAGCCGTTGCAGGAGAGCAGGTAGCGCAAGCAATGATGGCATTGTAGCTCATGGTATCGTGGAGTAACTTCTTGTTGGACTTCTTGTCCAACCCCCAGCTCCAGCCAGGGCCAGCTTCACAGTTAGGTCAGATTGCTCAGGACTATGTCCAGTCAATGTTTGAATGTCTCTGAGGACGGTGTCCCACAGCCTTTCTGGACATTCGTCTGATTGCATGGGGAATTTGTTTTCACTTAAAATCAGGAGGACTTTCTCTTGGTGCAGCTTATGCCTATTGGCTCATGGTCTTTTACTCTGCAGCTCTAAGAAGAGTTTGCCTTCATCTTCTTTAGAACTTCTCGGTAGTCAGTCAAAAACAGAAAATAGATCTCCCCTTCATCTTATCTTCTCCAAGCTAGCCAAACCCAGCTCCCCCAGACTCTGCTTGTATGGCATCTGCTCCAGTCCTCTGATCATCTTGGTGGCTTCCTCTGCACTTGCTCCAGTATGTCCATGTCTTGACCTGGACAGGGTGCTCAGGATGTTTACTCACAGGTAGGAGGTAGAGGGGAAGGATCGTTTCCCTGGACCTGCTGGCTGCACTCTTGCTGGTGCAGCCTGGGATGTGCTTGACCACCTCCTATCCAGCTTCTCCACCAGAACCTCTGAGGCTTCTTCTGCAAAACTGTTCTCTGGCCAGTCAGCCTCAGCCTGGAAGGCTTCACAGTCACCTTAGGTCCTGTTTTTAGGCTTTGAGTCACTTAGTGTGTCTAGTCTTGAGTAACTTCATCAAAATGAAGATGAGTCAAGACTTGGACCTCTGTGTATTTCACCCAAGAAGATGCATCTTCATCTGAGGGGGAGAGGTTTGAGGAGCGGGCGCCTGACTCGGTGTTGGCAGCTCTTGGCTGCCTGTCATCCTTGTTTGTGGTCCAAGGATGTGCTTTAATAAGCAGACTCTGGAAAGCGTTCATGTGTGAAATGTTCTGTTGTTCATCAAAATACAGGGAACAGGTGTTTTGGCCTAGAAATTGAAGCAAGCTAATTTCCTTCTTTTTATTTTCTATTGCATGAGTAGAAGATGTAACGTTTCAGCAATCTCATCCCTTTTCAAATGCTACTGTGATTTAAAATAACCTTTAAAACAAAAATGAAATCTCATTAGAAAATGCCATCCTAATTTGGAGCAACAGTTTCATAATTTGTTTCTGTGATATTAAATTAAATGTTTTGTAGAGTAGAATGAAGGTAACGTTTACTTAAAATCCATGCACTATTACAAGATATTATTGCTTGAATTATTCCAAATTTTGGAACAGGTTTTGTTTCTAATTAATCAAGAGACTCTCAAGCTTTATTCTTGTTATGCAAATCAAAATGTGAGCATCTAAAGAATAATTTTTAAGTGCAAACTGCTTTTCAGTGTGGACGTTTGGAAATGCTAATCAATTCAGATTGTTAATGATGGGCTTCCTTTAATAATCCCATGAGCCTCTGCCTCACCTCTAGTTTTTAAAAGACTAGCAAGCCCCCAAATTTTTTAAGAACTGCTATGTGGATGGTCCATCTCATGCAATACACCGTGGTTGTTGCCATGGTGTTTGAGTGGCACTTGGGGACAGGACATAGGAGCAAAATGCGTGGGATGCTTCCCCAAAACCAGCCGTCCTTGTTTCCAACGCCTTTGCAAAGGGACTCAAGCGCGCGGGTGCCTCTGAGCATGACGGCGTTCCCTTTGACACCGGTGGTCACGCTAAGATTTGAGCACCTCATTCTGCATTTCACTGAATCAAAAATAAATCTGGTTCTATGACATTTGGACAGTTACATGAGACTTTGCAAAAACAGGGTTAAATTTGTGGATGAGTAATTAGTTAAGAACTACTTAAAGCATTGTTTATATTTTGTTTTAAGGATGAAGCACCGCTGTTAAGGTTCTGAAATTATTTCAGCAAGGCTGAGCTGCACATGGCAACGTGGTGTTGCTGCGTGCGTGCAGACCGGATCGGTACACGTATAATTAGGCAAATTGTGGGTAACAGCATCAGTCCCGTATTGTAACTGTAGGAGCCAAACCTGGACGTACCTTTGGAACACGGGGGCTAGACTTGGAGAAGCAACTTCCCCTTGGCTGCCAGCCCTCCAGGTACTGTACCTTCTGCCTAAAGCTCACTGGAGAATCGCTGAGCACGTTATTTGGAGGTTGAGTGTTTTTAACAAGTACGTAGTAAAGATGGCCATTGTGGTTTTTTCCTTTTTTTTTGTTGTTTTGGTAATTTTTTTTTTCCTCCTCCATCATAATTGCACCTTCAGGGAAAGCTCACAATAAATAACAGTAGCACCTTGCAAACAGGCATCTACTTGTTCCTGACGGAATAAAGCCCAAATTAATTAACAAGGTGTACTCACATTCTGAGAGCTATCGTTATTTCTTCCCTATATGAGTGAATTCTGTTGTGGGGATCCAATTTTCTTTGAGCTGATGCAGTGGGAGTAATCATACGATATCTGTATTTTAATCAAGCAAAGTGTGTTCTAAAGCCTGCGATGAATTTACCTGCTTGAGGTTAAATGCATGTAACTGAAAGAAGGGAATATGCATTAAATTACTGTATTAAATCGTTGCTTTAAAGGAAGAGAGATGCATGCGCATGATCTGTGTTCTAGTGGATCTTACCATTAGGGTGCAAATTAGTCTATTTATTTCTAAAACTTTATAAACTATTTTGTCTAAGCGACATTTAAATTAAAATCATACATAAAAAGCAAGTAGTAAAGATGAAAACCAGATGAATCCTAAGTATTAGCAGAAACATAACAGAAATACGATTGACATTATCGTATATGATATCGTATATATTGTTACATCAAAAAGCCTGAGTGGTAAATGAAGATCCACTTGTGCTGGGTGCTGTGCAGATGAAAACAAACTCTAAAACTGGATTCGGCTGCAAAAGTCCTAAAATGTACATTTGTGGCTTTTAGAGCTGTACCGCCTCTGTTTTGCTGTGGAGTCGTCTCGAAGGCGATGCGCGCGCTTCCCGCGGTGGAACCACGGTGGAGTCAGCTGAAGCCTGACTTTCTCTCGGTTGTTCGTTCTCTCTCCCCAGATTTGGACGATCCAATAGTAACGGTCCACCAGAGCATCGGGGAAGCGAAAGAGCAGTTTTACTATGAGAGGACGGTGTTTCTCAGGTGCGTTGCCAACTCCAACCCGCCCGTTCGGTACAGCTGGCGACGCGGCCAAGAGGTGTTGCTGCAAGGGTCTGATAAAGGAGTGGAGATCTACGAGCCCTTCTTTACCCAGGTAGGAACGAAGCTACAGTAGTTTTTCCTTCTTCAGGCTACTTGCAGCAGATTCTTTGTAACTGGATGTGTCCGCATATCCCTGCTGGGTTTGTGGGGGCATGCCCTCCGGATAACTACACCCCGGCACAGAAGAACCCGTACGTTATTATAAGACTTCCTAACATAAAATGTGTCTTTTAATTTTTGGTAAAATTACAAAATAGGAAATTCTGGGAAAAGGCACAGTGAGTGCTATCTGCAGAGCCCCTTTGAAGTCATTTTGCTTGGGCGCTGCAAGCCCAAACCTCTGATTTGGCTGCTATTCCCTAATCTTTTCCAATACAATGCAAAGTGATTCTGCACAGAAGTTACAGCCTAAAAAGCTTTTCAGGAAGCCTAAACTCTATGGCAGCTCCCTGTGTTGTTTGTTGTTTTTTTTTTTTACTATTCTTTTTTTATTTTATTCTGCCTTTCACTTCTTTGAATATAAGTTTTTGTTCCAGAATTACACACTTAAAAGATGAGGTGGCAAAAATGGAAAGAAGTGCTTTTTTTAAGTCTTCCTACTCCCGCTCACAGCCACAAAGGCAGACCGGGCCGGCAGAAGAGTCTGTCAGATTAGATCAGATTAATTTATTGTTAGCACATTTGCACAGTCTCGGAATAAAAAGGTGGCATATCCTATTGTGTATGGACAAAAGTGTGTGACGGTGTTTGCAAAAAAAAAAAAAAAAATAAAAAGAGGAAAGAAGGAGAAAAAAAATTGTTTTGGAAAATCTCAAGCAGTAACGAGTAAAGACAGAGGTGAAAACTGCCTGGTAATTTGGTCTTCGTAGCAGAAAGCAACCTACAACTTTCATAAATAATTTTCAGCTAATGATTTGAGAGCACCTTCATTTTTTCTTTTTATTGTACTTGACAGCTTTATATTGCTACAATGGCTTGGTATTTTGCTGAGAAACGTGTAGCCTGGAACCTTACGGAGATGAGAATTAGATTACATAGTCAAGTTATTGGTCTCCTAAATGTGATGAGATTATTTTTAATGTAACATGTACAGACCCAGTTTAGCAAATCTGTGGCTTGTTTCCTTGGACTCAAGTGTGTAAAGTGGATTTTTTTTTAATGTTTTAATTAAAAAGTGAGAAACTCCCTTGACATGGGACTTTTAGTTTTGTATTTCAGTATGGAAATGTTGATGATTACATTTCCTATTGTCTAATAAGAACATAGCTTATAAAATGTGTCACATGGAATTAGATGCAATTTTAAAAAAAACAATAAATTTCTGGGTTACTAGGAGCATTCTTCCTAGAACCTGTGTCTGGGCTGAATTAATGAATAAATCAGATTGTCATGCTGATATTTGAAAGCTTATCCCTAACCTTTTTACATTTATTGGAGGTCAGGTTGAATTAGTGTATCTTGTCTGTGTGCCTACAAGATCTGATATATGTTTATAGGAGGAAAAGATGTAATTAAAGGTTCAGGAGTCATAAACATCTACTGCACATCTCTGCATAATTGGTTCTGCTTGTGATAGGGTAACAAACAGTAGGAGCTGATGAGAAGAGGGATAGAGGGGAGTCGACTTCAGAGCATCGAGAGATGCGAATTTGAGGTGGCGATTTTCGGTGATTGCTTTGAAGGTGGATTATCAATCTGAAAATGAAATTAAATGTAAAGGAAAACACTAGTAACACAATTAAATTTGCTAAGATATTGTACCCCCAAAAAGCTAATTTTTCTTTCTGGTGGTTTTCTAGTTTTATTAAATCATAGAAGGCACCTGGAAAACTGGACATATACAAATGAATTCTTGAACTTTGAACAGATTTTTTTTTTGATGAGTTAGGTAATGTCAGCTACTTATTTTAGCTGCCAAGTGGGGAAAAAAAGATGAACAAACATGCACGTTCTCATTTGTGGGAGTGTTCGAAAAACTGAACTTTTCAAAACCAAAATCTTGATGCAGAATTTTTTCCTAAGACTTTGCATCATCCTCATTGCACATTGTAATTGCACAGCCTGAGTACAAGATTAAATTTGCTGTATTTACAATAATTATGCAATTAGACATAATTAGACTAATTATCCAAACCAGTGAAGAAAATATATACATTTTTATAAATCTCCGCAATCTGGCGACGTGATCCAGAATCCCATTGTGAGTTCAGCCCACAGGTTCAGCCTGGAGTCCACGGCCAAGGAACGAACCGATGGGATGGTTTCCAGAACTCCGGGACTTTGGTAGCTGTGTTCCGACTAACCTGGATCAGGCCTTTCTCTAGCCCAGACGAACCTCTTCTTCGAGTGGGATCTTTATCGTTAGGAGCAGCCTTTCGAAGATGTGGTCTTGCAAACACTAAATCAGCATGTGCTTAATATTAATCACATAATTCTTATGGGACTGATTGCACATACAAAGCACTTCAGTTCCAATACTCCAAACAACTACCAAGCTTGAGTTTTAATGACTGTTTCTTTTCTTGTCTGGCTAGCTGTATCTTCTCTTTTATTGTTTTTCTCTAGTCTATATCTATAGATATATAGACTATTCTCTAGTCTATATCTATAGCAAAAAACTATCGTATTTTTGCTTATATTGACCTGGGCAGTTGGTGCACGTGATATTGTTAAAAAAAACCAAAAAAAACCAAAAAACCAAATTAAATATATTGTTCGAGCTGTGGTAATATTAAAAGTTGTTCAGCTTTAACAGGACACGTGATAGTGAACATTTTCCAAAGTTTGCTCTTTGGATGCTTTGTGAGCCCGTTCAGCATCTGCCTCCCCGGGCTGGGGTTCTGCCTTAGCCCTGTCTCAGCATAACACGATTTTTGCTTATCGCTGTAAACGCAGGCAAAGACTCGAAAGCGGGCAGCTGGAGGAGGAGATGGAAAGCCCTGGGAAGTTCCTTATTTTAATGCTAGAGTGAATACCGTGCGGGTCTTGATACACATAGATTGGTCTGATGTTCTCGCAGCCCTCCGCGCTGCAGCATCCCCAGTCCGACAGCCCGGTGCGCTTTGCTGCGCTCCCTGCTCCGTCCCACGACGTCTCTGTGCGCTCAGGGGTTGTCTCTCGCGCTCCTTTCAGCTTTCTGTTACTCTTGCTGCTAACAGCGCTGTAAGATTTTACATATGTATTTCAGCAACTTGCTTTTTCTCCTGACTTTCTGTTTCTGCGGTGCCCATTTCACAGAGCACAGCAGTGGAAATCTTGTATTTTCCAGGTTTTTTTCTTGATTTTGTCTGGAGGAACTCCTTCATTACATATCCCGTTCAGGTCCCTGCTCCATCATTTACGCTGCTGGCTAAAAATAAAATCCATCAGCAGCTCATTTTCAAAGGAAAACAGCAGGATTTCTGTACCTTGTGATTTTTTTTCATCATGTAGAACGTCCCTTAAGATATATTATCCCGAATAATGCTGCAACTTGAAAGACTGTCAAACCAATTTCCCCCTCCCTGCTCTCTTTTCTTTTGCCTTTAATATATAAGCGAGGCTACAGTTTTCGGTTATGCCAGCTGCCATTCTTTCAGGTAATTAAATAAAATATGTTTTCGGGATCATTTCAACATCTGCTCCTAATTAGCCACCTCTGCATCTTCCTCTCGCCTCCCGAAAGCCAGTCCCGGTGTGTCCTGCACCCCCGCTTGTTCCTCTGCCCCGCTCCCTTCCTAACGCTCTCTCTTGCACACGCAGGGAGAAACAAAGATCCTGAAGCTGAAGAACCTCCGACCTCAGGACTACGCGAATTACAGCTGCATCGCCTCGGTGAGGAATGTCTGCAGCATCCCCGACAAGATGGTATCCTTCCGACTCTCGAATAAAACAGGTGAGCCTCCCCCCAGCCACCCTCCCCGGTCGTTTGACGTCCCCGTGGTCTTTGCGGTGGCGTTCTCTTGCTGAAAACGTGCGTGACCTCCTGCAGCCGCGCAGGGGTGGGAGCTATTCAGGAGCAAGTGGTAGAAACAGTTTTCAAGTGTTTTTGTTTTTTTTTCCTCAGCAAAGTTAGGATTTGAAAGGAGAGGTTTGATTTACTGCTCGCTATTTGTCGCGCTCTGGGTTTTATGTCGGGATTTACGTTTTTGCCCGTTGCTTGTTACGGGTGGACTTAAGAGAAGATACTGCGGCAAGGTGAGAGGAAGGGGCATCTCAGTCAAGGCTGGGCATGGAGTAGAAACAAATACTCAAATACTTCTCTCAATGCTTTGCTGAAAACTAATTATTTTTGGTCACCAACATATTTTAGGAAAAAAATTAACCTTTTTATATTTTTACATTGATTTAAACAATTGATTTTTTTATGATTGATTTGATAAATTCTTACATCGATTTAAACATCGATTTCTTACATTGATTTACACAAAAGTGTTTTCTTTCAGATTTAATTGGTTCAAATGAAAATATTCAGGCAGTCGTGTTGAAACGCTTTGCAGGAGGAGAACTAGGTGTTTATCTGCCTCTGGCCACGCTGTCTCCACCTTGTGGCATTTCTGGTGCCTTTGCTCTTGTCTTTGGACTTGTCCCTGACCGAGCAAGTCAGCTGTGTATCTCCCTCTCTTTGTGGCTGTATCGCTGCTATCCGTCTCGGGAGCGTCATGCCAGTGGTTGCTCACAAGAAGTGCAATTGGGAGTGCTGGTGTCCAGAAAGATGGAAATTATAGATTTTAACTCTCCTAAAGGCTCTGTGTCCGGGATCCGCAGAGGATGTGTCTGAAATGGTTTGTAAACCCAATGCCAAAGAGCAAAGTCTTCAGCTTAGATTTCTAAATAATTAGAAATTTCCTGGAAGTGTTTTCTGGAGAACAGTTCTGCAGCACATGTGGTAACATTTGAAGACTTCAGGTTAGATTACGCTGGGTTATGCCGTAACAGCGTGTGCCTCGGGGCACCCAAACCAGGTAGCAAATGAACAGAATGGTTGAGGCATTAGCATGCTGAGTGCGTCAAAGATGATCTATGAATTTTATTTGCACTTGCACATTTCACATTATTTCTGTCCTCACGGCTTTATTCCAAGGAGTTGCCTTCTGCTTTTTCTGAATTTCTGATTTGCCAGCAGGGGCTTTCAGACTGCGGTGTGTACCATTACTGTACACAGCCCACTGCAAAGCAAATTCACAGCTCAGCTTCAAAGCTGCCACTGGCAGTAGGGGAATTGCAGTCGCTTCTGAAGGTATCTGGCAAAATGATTTGGAAGCCCTTAATTTATTCTCTCATTAATTTTGCCAGGGGGGAAAAAAAAAAAAAGTCATAACGTGAGGTTTGACGTTCATTAGTTGCTCTGATTTCATACCAGAAGAGGCATGAAATCCTGTCTGCCATGGAGAGGTGCAGCTGATAGTTGGGAGCAGCTTTCTTCTCAACACCGGTAATAACTCATCCACCTTCTTTCATGAGAAGAGAGGATGAGAGTTGTTACTGCTGCCATTTGTCAGAGCGATAATTTTGCTGTTGGAGCCAGAACGGTCTTTGTCCATGTTGAACCTCATCTGCAACAGAAGTTTGTTTATGTTACAGTAATGGGGGAACATTAAATAGCCTAACTATTCTGAACTGAGGACAGGTGAGCATGATCTAATTTTGCAAAAAGAATTAATTATTCCCACCTTACAAACGTTATGTTTATTCTGGGAGAAGGGTGTCATGCTAAATTAACAGGAGTTGCTTTTCTGGAGGAATTTCCAAAGTAAACAAGCCTGCAAACTTATAAAGATTCACACTTTCTCGTGAAGAACTTGGTGGCAACCATCATTGAGAGCAAAATTAAATTCATATAGTAATTACTGCAACATATCATTAAAGATGATGAGTGATGTGTTGATGACTCTGGGACAAAACTTTTCCTGTTTGGTATGACTTCATCGGATATAGCTCTTTGGTAGAACTTCACCTGGTGTCATTTCATAGAAGTTATATAAATTTGAAATCCAGAGTAATCCAGGATAAATCCAAAGTAATGAAAATCAGAACCTGAACTTGATACTCTGTTTTGGTATGGAGCAGTCCTAGCCTGTCCATCTGTTTTTAATTTAAAGCTGGAGGCATGTAATGGAGATACCTATCTAATGGCAACAAAAGAGAGACAAACGGCAGTGTCTGTAAGGTGGCAACACCAGGATATTTATTGTAGTTAATGTGGGCTACAAGTGGATTTAAGTTCAGCTGCGTATTATGAAAGCATAACGTAAAATTGCTGGCAATTTGGCTATTCTGCATTTATCAGGTCTGTAAGTATAACTGGCGTGAGCAGTTTTTGTTGAACTTGGCTGTTACTGAGGAGAGAGGTGACTGAGGAGGATAGCTGGGGCTGACGGGAGCTGTGGGTTCCACCTCGTTCCGGTAGTGCTTTGGCTCCCTGGGCTCAGGCTTTTATTGCAGGGTACGGGGACTGTTGCATGGTTTGTCGGGCTCCCTTCGATTGACTGACTTGTGAGCAAAGTCGGGAAGGTTTTTCCCTGCCGTGGATGTGCGCTCCAGCTTGTGTTGCTCAGGGACATCAGCTGTCCCAGCAGCCAGGATGGGGTTTGTGGACCATCTGCGTGCGGTGGCTTGTCGCTCACCTCGGTTGATTGACGGGGTGCGCACATGGCGGCTGGGAAGCTGCTGTGCTGCAGGGAGCACCTTGGCTCCCCGCTGGCCCGGATCGATTGCCACCACGCGCTGATGCGCAGCAGGACATCTGCACGCTGCAACGAGCGTTTGTCACACGTGATGATCGCTGGCAGATTGTGTTTGAGGAAGCGGTGCCCAGCAGACGTGAAAAAACCCCGTGTAACTATTGCTGTCTGCCTGGAAATCCTTACTGCTCTTGTAGTATCCTGCTACTACCCTGCCTGCTTTCTGCAGCCAGGGCCACCAAGGTTCTCACAGATGACGGTCAAGTCACCTGTTGAACCTTCTGCTTGGTAATCTTCCTGCATTGTCAGAGTGCGGCGCCAGAGGCACGCAAGCACATGGCTTACCTCTTTCTTTGTCTGAAACACTCTCAAGTCTCCCCAGCTTCCCTCGCCAAGAGCTATAGGTGACTGGGCATGAACGTAGATGCTTGTTTCAAGGCAAGCATGCAGATCCAGGTGCTCTGCTGCTGCTGTTTGTGCCACGGGGTCTTTCATACATCTGCATCCCTGTGCACACCTCTGAGTTGAGAGGCTAATTTGAGGAACATCAGGCATGTCTTTGGGTGAGTATTTTGGGTTTCTGTTCAGTGCCGCCTGCCAGCTCATCCCTCTGACCTTTTTGTTTTCTGTGCTCACTCCGTCTTGCTGATTATGTGATTGCGTGTCGTGGCATCACCAGAGTAACAATCAATTACTGTGATAGAACCAATCCAGAGGAAACTTTCTGCCTACTTCTCCTTGAATAATTAGAGAGGTAATTACGCTGATGCCATCGGATGAATGTGTATTCATCAGTATACTTTGGACATGATGCAGATTTAAGGCGTTACACGTAGGTATAATTAGGTACACTCACACCCCCTTCATTCAACAGCAGCTTCTTAATTACAGCTGTTCTGTGTGCGTCTGGAGCCTTAGACGCACCATCGCATGTCTGTAGGTACTGCAGGAGATAGAGGCCATTGGCATCAGTTTTCTGACACACGGATTTCTTTGTTCCAGTGCAGACTAGTTGAAAATGCAAAAACCAAAGTGGATGTTGTAATGACAGAAGCTGAGATCATCTCAGAAGCATGTGACCATGCATATGCTGAAGCCCAAGATGACAATTAGCAGTAATATTGTACAGCAGCAGGTAGAGGCACTTGTTGAGCGCAGACCCACTTTGTGTCTAAAGACAGGTATTACTCTGCAAATTTATTATCTGAATAGGTGAGAAATTTGAAGGGAAGCAGAAACACTGTGAAGTGATTCACCTGCTGGCAGATTGCTAGTGAGTGGCAGGAACAGAAATAGAAGTCAAGATGTGAGGAAGAACAGCAGAGGGACTAATTTTGCAACTCTCATTTGTTTTTAGTAGACTGAGTCCCTTTAAAATCAGCACATAGAAGTTAATTTGGGTAAGTTATTGCAAGCGGGAGTTGTAAAACCAAATGCAGCTGCTTTGCAACAAAATCAAGGGGTTATTCTGAAAAGGAGGAGGAACCCTGACAATTTTCGCAGTGTACGTGCTTGAATCTCCAGGCTGTCGGAAGAGGATCAGCTGTGAGGGTGGGTGTCCCACCAAGTCATGACCTCCATAGTTCTGTCTACGTTACCCGTGTTCATTGCTTCACAATGTCCATGCTGCACCAAAGAAGAAATCCGATTGATCCAATTCTGGCTCTTACTCTACTCATTGGGCTTCTCCTGGGGTTGCTATTGTCCTGTCTCTTCCCCAAGGTCCCAGAGGTTTTGTGCGTGGCACTCACATGTGTCTTTCCCCACTCATGTTTTTCACTCTCTTAGAGCTCTTAGTGTATTTAGATTCCTGAAATCAATGATTTTTTTCCTCCAAACAGTCCTCGCAGTTTGAAACTGCAGGAAGCACAAAAGGCAGTTTGCAGCAAAGGCTTCTGGAGTGGGGGGAGCACTGTGCTACAGGTTGTGTCTTCTCATAGAAACGGCTCCTCAACACCTTTCTCATCTCCTGTTCCCATTTACAAGTGTTTTGGAGTCACCTCCTTGGTTCCTCTAGATACCTTCTCATCCTCCTGCCTTGTCTTTAGTAGGACCTTTGACATGACGTCCGATGCCTTCCTTATAGCCAGGATTGAGATGTGAATGATTAGTCAAAAATTGGCTGGGCCTTTGGGCTTGAAGGGTGGCATGATGTCTAACTGGTGATCATTTATTTACGTCGTCCCTTGGGGATCAAAACTGTGAACAATCG